GGATTGCATAGCGGAGAAGGTACGGTGGGATTCGAAATGGTCAGTGATCTGTTTGTTAACTTGGCTTTCAAATACTTTCGAAAGGCAGGGCAGGATGGATATAGGTCTGTAACAGTTTGGATCTAGAGTGTTTTCGGCGGCTAGTATTAGAAAGAAAGGGTCCAGATTGTCTATCCCAGCTGATTTGTAGGGGTCCAGATTTTCCAGCTCTTTCAGAACATCAGCTGTCTGAATTTGTGTGAAGGAGAAGCGGGGGGTGCATGGGCAAGTTGCAGCGGAGGGTGCAGAGTTGGTGGCCGGTGTAGTGGTAGCCAGGTGGAAAGCATGGCCAGCCGTAGCAAAATGCTTGTTGAAATTCTCGATTATTGTAGATTTATCGGTGGTGATAGTGTTTCCTAGCCTCAGTGCAGTGGGCAGCTGGGAGGAAGTGCTCTTATTCTCCATGGACTTTACAGTGTCCCAAAACTTTTTGGAGTTAGTGCTACAGGATGCAAATTTCTGTTTGAAAAAGTTAGCCTTTGCTTTCCTGAAAAGTTGCATATCGCGGGGGCTATTTGATGCTAATGCAGTACGCCACAGGATGTTTTTGTGCTGGTCAAGGGCAGTCAAGTCTGAGGAGAACCAGGGGCTATATCTGTTCTTAGTTCTGTTTTTTTTAATGGGGCATGTTTATTTAAGATTGAGAGGAAATTACTTTTAAAGAACAACCAGGCATCCTCTACTGACGGAATGAGATCTATATCCATCCAGGATACCTGGGCCAGGTCAATTAGGAAGGCCTGCTCGCTAAAGTGTTTTAGGGAGCGTTTGACAGTGATGAGGGGTGGCCGTTTGACCGCGGACCCGTTACGGACGCAGGCAATAAGGCAGTGATCGCTGAGATCCTGGTTGTAGACAGCGGAGGTGTATTTAGAGGGTAAATTAGTCAGGATGATATCTATGAGGGTGCCCATGTTTACTGATTTAGGGTTGTACCTGGTAGGTTCCTTGATAATTTGTGTGAGATTGAGGACATCTAGTTTAGATTGTAGGACGGCCGGGGTGTTAAGCATATCCCAGTTTAGGTCACCAAGCAGTACGAACTCTGAGGATAGATGGGGGGCAATCAATTCACATATGGAGACCAGGGCACAGCTGGGGGCTGAGGGGGGTCTGTAGCAAGCGGCAACAGTGAGAGACTTATTTCTGTAAAGGTGGATTTTTAGAAGTAGAAGCTCAAACTGTTTGGGCACAGACCTGGATAGTATGATAGAGCTCTGCAGGCTATCTCTACAGTAGATTGCAACTCCGCCCCCTTTGGCAGTTCTATCTAGACAGAACATTTTGTAGTTTGGAAATGTCCGAGTTTTTGGTGGCCTTCCTAAGCCAGGATTCAGACACTGCTAGAACATCAGGGTTGGCGGAGTGTGCTAACGCAGTGAATAACTCAAACTTAGGGAGGAGGCTTCTGATGTTAACATGCAAGAAACCAAGGCTTTTACGGTTACAGAAGTCAACAAATGATAGCGCCCGGGGAGTAGGAGTGATACTGGGGGCTACAGGGCCTGGATTAACCTCTATATCACCAGAGGAACAGAGGAGGAGTAGAATCAGGATACGGCTAAAGGCTTTAAGAACTGGTCTTCTAGTGCATTGGGTACAGAGTATAAAAGGGGCAGATTTCCGGGCGTTGTAGAATAGATTCAGGGCATTATGTACAGACAAGGATATGGAAGGATATGAGTACAGTGGAGGTAAACCTAAGCATTGGGTAACAATGAAAAAGATAGCATCACTGGAGGCACCGATTGAGCCAGTCTCCGCGTGTATGGGGGGTGGGACAAAGGAGCTATCTGAGGCAAGTTGAGTGGGACTGGGGGCTCCACAGTGAAATTGTATAATAAGAACTAACCGAAACAGCAATAGGCAAGGCATATTGACATGGGAGAGAGGCATAAAGCAATCACAGGTGTTATTCGAGAGAGCTAAGACAACAACTGGTAATGGTGACGAAAGTTTGGGCTAAGGCTAAACAGATAAACAGGACAGATAAACAGGATGGGGTACCGTGTAAAGGAACATTCCAGCAGGCATCAGCTGTGTAGCTGAGTGATCATAAGGTCCAGTGAACAGCAAAAGGTGAGTCCGGGAGCAGTTCAATGGCTGCTATGGCACAGGTGAGGCACATTGGGTGAGGCAGGTTGCAGGAAAGTATATTTAGTTGATGGATGAAAAGTGAGATTGAGAAATATATACGAAAAAGACAAAAAACTAAAAAACTGGCTATTTACACGAGCACACTACAGAATACACGACCGCACTGCTACGCCATCTTGGAATGAGTGAAATAAATTGATAGTAAGAAGATTGTGAGTGCAGCCTTTGATATTATTGACCATAACCTGTTGTTGAAAAAACGTATGTGTTATGGCTTTTCAACCTCTGCCATATCGTGGATTCAGAGCTATCTATCTAATAGAACGCAGAGTGTTTTCTTTATTGGAAGCTTCCTAATGTTAAACATGTAAAGTGTGATTGTATGGTACGCAGGGCAGCTCTATTGGCCCTCTACTCTTTTCTATTTTTACAAATGACCTGGCACTGGCATTAAACAAAGCCTCTGTGTCTACACTGTATGTATGCTGCTAGTGAAATCACTGAAACCCTAAACAAAGAGTTGCAGTCAGTTTTAGAATGGGTGGCCCCAGTAATAAACTGGTCCTGAACATCTCAAAAAATAAGAGCATTGTATTTGGTACAAATCATTCCCCAATTTCTAGAATCTGGTAATGAATGGAGTGACTGAGCAAGTTGAGGAGACTAAATTACTTGGTGTTACCTTAGATTGTAAACTGTCATGGTCAAAACATATTGATTCTGTCACAAGCTGGGCTTGAACTCAGGTCTCAGATGTGGAGAGTTGGGTGTTCTACCCCTAAGCCACAGAGGAGGTATAGTAGGACCCAAACGAAACACTCAAGGCAATACTCCAGGCAAAGTAGATTTAATATAAAAAAAGGTATTTCTTTGCACTTCAAAAATAATCCAACAAAAGTTATTCTCAGAAAGAGGTATACTAACAGAGGTACAGTAAACAAAACAGGAGGACAAAACAAAATAACTCCACGAGGGGAGAAAAACAAAATAAAGATAACTTAGAAAAGCTTACTCGGAAAGACTCTGTGGGACACAGCAGGAGACACATAGCCAGGACTCAAAGACCAAGTGAGGAAAAACACAGCTAAACACAGCTAAAATACTCTAGGGGAAACAAGGCACAGGTGACCTGGATAAAGCTAATAAGGACACACGAGGAAGAACTAAGGCAGAGGGGAACACAGATGACCTCTAGAGGCCCGGAGACAAACAGGAGGCAGGAAGCTGACAGATTCAATGGTTTTAAAGATGGGGAGAGGTCTGTCCGATAAAGAGATGCTCTGTATTTATTTATTTTATTTATTTATTTATTGTTGTTTTTTTGCGTATTAGGGATTAAAACCAGCATACTGGAGACCCTCGATGCACACGCGAGGTGAGGGGGCCCTGACCAATTTATGGGCCCCAGCTAAACACTCACCAATATTTTCTTGAATGTTATGAGCCTACCCAATCATGCCTGCTTTATTTATCTGGTATTTTAATGTTAACAGTTGCACACCACTAAGGAAAACACAGTAAAGCATTGATGATCAGTACCTGCTTTGCTCAGGTCTTGTTTAGAACCATTTATTAAACTGTACATTTCAGACTACTGTGGTGTTCATGACTGCATGCCTGTAGTAGTTCAGTAAATACGTGGAAGGGTAATAGTGAAACAGACCAACAACCCAACACTGATGAGGAAACTGTTTGTCCATGGGAATGATCCTGACTCTATCAGCCTGTTCTAGATAATGGTGCGTCACCTTATCATAAAAATGAATGATTTCATATGTGCTGTATATCTTAAACAAACCCCATAAAACAATTCACTCCCCCTCTGTAGCCCAAATTAACACTTGTTGTGTTTGCGGACAGTCATTTTAATGTGTTCACCATGTGAACTGGCTAATTTATGACCACAAGCCCAGGTGGGTGATTTCTCACACACATTGAGTATTAAGGGATTTCTCGCATTCAGGATTTTATGGGTGCTATAAGGATGTTTAAAGGCCTTTAGGTATATAAGCCGTCCTGTTTTGGGACTATCATCGTCAAGGGGAAGGTGAAACATGGAGATTGCTACCACTCTTCTTGTTCTTTGCTCTGTGATAGTCTCACATGGAGCTCAAGGTAATGTATTTACTTATACTGCACTATATATCTGTTTTATTGGTATCTATCTCTCTTTGTAAGTGTTGTTTGTTTGTAGCAATGGCATCCATTTGTGTATTATTATAGGGTTGTCGTAGCACCTCTGGTGTCTCTTTCTCTTATGCAAAGGTTCATATTCAATTACTCTTACTTTCTCATTACAGGTTGGTGGGACACATGGACCACAGTAGGTAAGTACTGTTGATGAGCTGATTTCTTCCCCCAAATAACATATAGTTCTGTCTTTTTGTTTTGTACCTATTTCTAGAAATGACTTAATGAGAAGAAGAAAGACTGCACACTTCAGGGTCAATACAAATGTCAGATTTATTGTGCATTGATCATAAGATTGCAAAGGTTTCGTTCTTTTCACTAATCTGGCACCTTCCTGCACTTTAGCATCTATGTTGGTTGTGTAGTACTAACAGTATTACTACATGTAACCTAATGACATTTGTGTTTACAGAACCCTGGAGTACAGATGACCCATCAGGTATTCCAAACTCAGAATTTTGCTAGTATTTCTGAGCAGTGTGTATGTTGCTCTGTTTATCAACACTTCTGAACTAACCCATGTCTGTTTATTCATCTTGTTCATTAAAATACTTCACTGTATCAACATTCCAATTAATCAATATTGTTTTTATTGTGTCAGTCGGCACTGCCAGTCAGTCTCTATTCTACTTCTCATTCTTAATGTTGTTACTTTTTTGTTGTTTTGCTCAGGCACCAATGCCCAATGTGGTGGCTACCTGACTGCATCAAAAGGACAATTCAACAGCCCCAACTACCCCAGCAACTACCCCAACAATGCCTACTGTACATGGAACATTCAGACCACGTCGGGGAGCCAAATAGTTCAGCTGCAATTCCCCTATGTCAAGTAAGTAGGTTATGGTTCATGTTTATTCTTAAACTTGGATATGTTTGAAAACCCTCAAAATGCTTAATTTTGTCTTTAAAATGATCACCTATCTAAAAATGAGTTGATAAGTGAAAGCAAGTCCAGTACACTAATCTGGTCAGATCAGTCATCAGAGGTAATAAGTGCTACATTACCAGTGTATATTAAGCAGCCACCATCAATATCATTGTATTTCATTCATCTTTCCTGTCTTCGACCACAGTCTTGAGGATCACTTCAACTGTAGGTATGATTCCATCTCTGTGTACGATGGCTATTCCTCCTACAACCGACTCCTGGGAAAGCTGTGTGGAGGACAGAGCTCAACCTTTTACTCCACCGGAAGTTCAATAACTGTGCAATTCACAAGTGACAGCTCTTCAACGTACAAGGGGTTTCAAGCAGAGTATCGTGTAGTAGGTAAGGCATTGAGATGAAGTAAATATATGTAAAGAGACATTAACTGCATAGGTATTATGTTCCTCCCTGTACTCAAATGTCATGCAAACATATGAACTAAACGAATAATGATACATGCATACAAATGTGCTGTTCATTTTAGCAGCTTGTTAGCTTGGTATCATTGCAATGTATTATGACCAGTGAACCATGATTCATCTGTTTGTTTTTCTTGTAGATGGAGGTTCTTGTAGTTACAACTGTGGCTATCAGGTTGGCAACTGCTCCTGCTCATCTTTCTGTGAATACAGGGGCAACTGTTGCCAGGACTATCTACGTAAGAGAAGGGAGTTAGGATCAACTTTAGAATATTGTAACAGTGTGTGCTCTTCCTCCGTTAAAATGTTAACTTCTGTGCCATTTTATCTACTTTGTATAGAGAACTGCTATGGCACAACCGTAGAACCTGAAACCACAGGTGCAGTTACAACAGCAGATCCAACTCCTGCAGTAACCGAAGGTATTTCTTCAGCTGTGTCAGAATTTTACAATACAACTGGTGTAGTTCAACAAAATTCACAAAATTAATTTTTCCAATTTCAAAGCTTTTTGGAGAGCTTTGAAGAAGATGTACCATAAAGTAACATAAAAAATTAATCATGAATAATCAAATCTGCTGTTCATGTATCAAAGTTTTGGTCACACAAATAAAACGTTAACTGGATTTACAGTAACTTTGAGTAATGTGCTGTCTGTCCATTACAACAGATTATTATTCCTGTGAGTACAACTGTGGCTACAATGGCATGGTCTGCTCCTGCACCTCATCATGTCAAAACCAAGGCAACTGTTGTCATGATTATTATGGTATGTATGATAAAGACATTTATGTTAAAGGCTGCGTTTCTGTGATTATTAGCAGTGTGCCTGTGCTCTTTGTCTATACTAATGTCCATCCATGTGTTATTATCTCCCCTTCACAGATTATTGCCAGAGTACAACAGACATACCTACCCACACAGGTATTTCACTCCCAAATGTTAAACCTGTAAGCTTTGCCAGCATATAGTTTGGTGACCTGTTTAGAAAATGATAACAACATAAATAGTAAAATGTGCTGTTGTTCATGATTTAAAGCTTTGGTCTCACAAGTGATGTTTTAGCAACTGTGAGTTAGTTTGAAAATTGCTTTCTGTCCTACAGCTCAGCCTTCCTGTAGGTACAACTGTGGTTATAATCTTGGAAGCTGTTCCTGCTCCATCTCCTGTCAATACTATGGCAACTGTTGCTATGACTACAATGGTATGTGTCCAATACAATAGATAATATTGTATTGAGTGCACGGAACTCCCTTCCATCTTATATAGCGCAAGTGAACAGCAAACCTGGTTTCAAAAAACAAATAAAGCAACACCTCACGGTACAATGCCTCTCCCCCATGTGACCTACTTGTTGTGTGTATGTACTGACATGTATGTGTAACGGATAGATACACACACACTACATGTTAATGTTTTAAAATGTATGTAAATTGTAAAGTATTTTGTCTGTAATGTCTTTTTCGTTATGTGTTGGACCCCAGTCAGACTAGCTGTCGCCATTGGTGTTGGCTAATGGGGATCCTAATAAATCAAATAATATATGCCCTTTAGCAAACATTTTTATCCAAAGCAACTTACAGTCATGCGTGCATACATTTTACGTATGGGTGGTCCTGGGAAGCAAACCCACAATCCTAGCAATGCAAGCGCCATGCTATACCAACTGAGCCATACAGGACCAGATAGATCAGATGGGTTCAGGTATTCTCTGTGAAAGAGGTCGAGACAATAATATAAATACCGACCACCAAGACTTGTGTTGCGCTTCAATTCTAAAATAAGTATGCAAAGTCCCAGGTAATCAGAAAATAATCAAAAATGTGTATTGTAATAGTGTGTGCACTTCCTCCGTTAAAATGTTAACTTCTGGGCCATTTTATCTACTTTGTATAGAGAACTGCTATGGCACAACCGTAGAATCTGAAACCACAGGTGCAGTTACAACAGCAGATCCAACTCCTGCAGTAACCGAAGGTATTTCTTCAGCTGTGTCAGAATTTTACTATACAACTGGTGTAGTTCAACGAAATTCACAGAAATAATTTTTCCAATTTCAAAGCTTTTTGGAGAGCTTTGAAGAAAATGTTACATAATGTAACATAACAAAATAAATCACAAATAATCAAATGTGTTGTTCATGTATCAAAGCTTTGGTCAAACAAATAAAAAGTTAACTTGATTTACAGTAACTTTTAGTAAAGTGCTTTCTGTCCCATACAACAGATTGGAATTCCTGTTGGGACAACTGTGGCTCCAATGGCATGATCTGCTCCTGCACCTCATCCTGTCGAAACCAGGGCAACTGTTGTTATGACTATTATGGTATGGTAGAGAAAGAGATGCTAAAGACTTTAGTTTCTGATTATTAACAATGTGGTGGTGCTCTTTGCCTACTTTAATGTTAATCCTTTTGTTATTACCTCTCCTTCTCACAGATTATTGCCAGAGCTCAACAGACGCACCTGTGTCCACAGCCACAGGTATTTCTCTTCAGCTAGTTTGCTGACCTGTGTAAAAAATTATAACAATATTAATAATAAGAAAACAATCATCAAATGCTGTTCATGAACTTTGGTCACATATAAAAAATCTACTGGATTTAGTTTACAGTAACTGTGAGTAATGGGTCGTGTTGTCTGTCCTATACAGTAGGTTGGGGTTCCTGTAGATACAACTGTGGCTCTTATGTCGATGGTTGCTCCTGCACCTCATCCTGTCGATACTATGGCAATTGCTGTCATGACTACAATGGTATGATGTTAAAGAGCTCTTTGAGATGGTTAGTACTTGGGACGGCTCGCATTGTCTATGCTAATGTCCATCCCTATCTTCCCTTTTCACAGATTATTGCGAGAGCACAACATACGTACCTGCTACGACCCCAGGTATTTCTCTCCCAAAACATAAACCCACATTTTAAAACCTTCAGCTTTGCCATCATCTAGTTTCGTGACCTGTGTAGAAAATGTTGTGCTGTTTATGTTTTAAAGCTTTGGTCACACAAGTGGTGTTATTGTAAATAACTTAGCAAGGAAATTTATTTTTTGTCCTGCAGAGGCTTCCTGTAGGTACAACTGTGGTTACACTCTTGGAAGTTGTTCCTGCTCCAGCTCCTGTCAATACTATGGCAACTGTTGCTATGACTATAACAGTACGTGTCCAATACAGTAAATCAGAGGGGTCCAGCTATTATCTGTGAAAGAGAACACTGTAAAGATGGCAAAGATGTGGAGAGATTCTGGAAACAAATACAAATCCCTGCTGCCAAGACTTGGGTTGCCCTTCCACTCTAAGTAGGCCTATGCAAAATGTGTCCCAGCTAATCTGAAAATAATATTGAGTCATACATTCAGTTAAAATGCAGTTGAAGTTTAGCTTTAAAAAATCTTGAACAATGAATGCCAATCACACTCCCTAAATGACTGTATGAGCTTTAAGCACAGTTGCATTTACCCAGTTTGGTTTGGATATTGCTCATTCTTATTTTTACCTTCACACAGCGTACTGCCCCACCACCTCACCAGACCCAACAGGTATTAACATTTCCCACATCATCCATTTAAAAAGGGATTTGATTTAATAATCTGTATAATGACAGAACAATACAAGTAGACGTCAATGTGTTGCACAAACGTAAATAACTGAACCTTTCTTGAAACCAAATGTGATTTCCTGTAGATGATCTACAGTAAATCACATTTGGTGTCACGAGTTGTCGGACTTTTGAATTCAAAATGGATTTTATGTTTCATTTCTCTTCCCTGGTCTCAGGGACTCACCCCACCTGCGGAGGAAACCTGCATGGCTCTGGGTCCATCTCCAGTCCATACTATCCAGAATATTACCATGACAACGCCTATTGTGTCTGGCATCTATCGGCCCCCTCTGGCCAAAGGATCTTCCTGTCATTTACTGACCTGGAGTGAGTTAAGATTCCTCTTCAGAAATGGTTCCTTTGATTACCCTGGTTGGTTGCATCTTAATGTAAAATATTTGTGAAAGCTTCACCTTGACAGTTCCCTTTGAAGAACTATCTGATCGATTTCTATAATTCTGAATGTGCATGAAGACAGATCTCGAAATGGACCATCCGTATTGACTATGAGTTCACATTTAGATATATTCTATAAGTGTATGCTCTTTGTTGGTTCAGGTTGGAGAACTGCTGCTCTTGTGATTACATCTCTGTGTACGATGGATCGTCTGTGCACTCTGGAATGCTAGGCACAATCTGTGACTTCAACAACGGCACCTCTTTGACTGCCTACCACTCCACCTCTAACTACATGACAGTTCTCTTCCGCTCTGACCAATCAATGGTCAGCAGGGGCTTCAGGGCCGTGTTCAGCAGCTCCCTCGCATCAAACCAAGGTAGTCTGAGACTGATAATCTGGTGCAGTTAATCGAACACTGATCATTTATGTATTCTGACATTGATATTATAGCTCAGGAGCCTCAGGTTGGTTTTATTTGTTGTGGGGTTTCAGGTCGAGTGGACTGCTCCTCAGACAACATGAACATAGTGATCCAGAGATCCTACCTGATCTCAATGGGCTACGATGGCTACAATCTGTACCTGAACGACCAGCATTGTAGACCTCAGGTCAACAGCTACCAGGTGGTGTTCAGCTTCCCAATTAACACCTGTGGGACCCAGCAAATGGTAAATGAATTCATGAAACACAAAGTGATTACCAGATTATGTATGGTATATAAAAAGCTACATAGAGATTTAGCTAGTGTGCTGCAAATGTTAAAAAAATATATTATATGAACACTGGATATAGTCACATTAACTAGCAATCACATTTTCCAATCATTTTCTGTTTCTTGTCCAATATCATTTTTTTGCCTCACGCTCTGAACAGTTTGAGAATGGGAGAGTCCAGTACACCAACGCCGTCCGTGCCTACCGGTCTGACTCAGGCGAGATCACACGCCAGTCTCATTTTCTGCTGCAAGTGGAGTGTCGCATGGAGCAGGACACCATGGTCCAGATTATGTATGAGACCGAGTTTCAGGGTAACGGTACCATAACAGGCACAGGCAGATTCAACGGCACCATGGCTTTCTTTACAAACAGCAACTTCTATACCGAGATAACCGAGACTCCATACAAGATCACCCTCAACCAGAACATGTACGTCCAGGTCCGTCTGAGGAGGTTAGACAGCAGTCTACATCTGTTCCTGGACACCTGTGTTGCCTCTCCCTCGCCTCATGACTTCCAAACCAGATCATACGACCTGGTGCGCAACGGGTAAGAAACAGGCACTGCTGATCTGACCTGCAGAGGAGATTGTAGGGCCAAGAGATATTGCTTAGAAGGAAAAACGGTGTCCTATACCTTATTAAGGAATTCTTATTCTTCAAGGACACTCATAGGCTCTTGATTTAAAAAAATGTTTGTTTCTGATGCACCCACAGATGTAGGAGGGACCCCACCTACTACTCCTACACCTCTGGTACCAGTAGCTATGCCCGCTTCACCTTCCAGGCTTTCAAGTTCCTGCGAGCCCATGATTCAGTGTACCTGCAGTGTAAAGTCACCATCTGCCAAGCCTCTGACTACAACTCCCGCTGCCGCCGAGGCTGCCGCACCCGCAAGGCCAGGGACTTGGGATCCTCCCAGGAGAGCCACACCCTGGTCCTGGGCCCCATCCAGCTCAAAGGTAAACTCTTAGTAGGGCTATGATGCTATGATTTCTCTGTGTGGGACACCCTAACCTGGTCGCAGATCTGTATGGGCTAATTTGTTGCTAAACTCTCAAACAATTAGGAGCAGTGGAGCACTCTGTTATACTGTTCTGAATACGTTCCGGTATGTTATCACTCTGGTTTAGACTGTGCAGACACAAATGTATACATAAACAGGTCTTTCTTACCCCTCCCCAGATCTGGAGAAGCCAGATGAGAAAGTGGCTGAGAAGGAGGAGATCCAGGCTAAGGTGGAACCTTCAGACTAAGCTGACCAGCCTCAACTAACTATAGTAATCATTAATACTATCATTCTGATTAATTACACCTTAGGCAATGAAGTAGCCAATATTCACTGCTACTGTACACTATAATCTTCTATCCCTTTGCTACTTTGGCTAAATTATTAAAAGCATTCTCAAAATACAATTATTGGTGTCTGAACATCTTATTCCATGTGCTAACATTGAAATACAGTGGCTTGCGAAAGTATTCACCCACCTTAGCATTTTTCGTATTTTGTTGCCTTACAACCTGGAATTAAAATTGATTTTTGGGGGGTTTGTATCATTTGATTTACACAACATGCCTCCAACTTTGAAGATGCCAAATATTTTTTGTGAAACAAACAACAAATAAGACAAAAAAACTGAACTTGAGCGTGCATAACTATTCACCCCCCCAAAGTCAATACTTTGTAGAGCCACCTTTTGCAGCAATTACAGATGCAAGTATCTTGGGGTATGTCTCTATAAGCTTGGCACATCTAGCCACTGGGATCTTTGCCCATTCTTCAAGGCAAAACTGCCTTCAAGTTAGATGCGTTCCGCTGGTGTACAGCAATCTTTAAGTCATACCACAGATTCTCAATTGGATTGAGGTCTGGGCTTTGACTAGGCCATTCCAAGAAATTTAAATGTTTCCCCTTAAACCACTCGAGTGTTGCTTTAGCAGTATGCTTAGGGTCATTGTCCTGCTGGAAGGTGAACCTCCGTCCCAGTCTCAAATCTCTGGAAGACACTCTTCCGTAAAGCCCAGGTCTGTGGAGTGTACGGCTTATAGTGGTCATATGGACAGATACTCCAATCTCTGCTGTGGAGCTTTGCAGCTCCTTCAGGGTTATCTTTGGTCTCTTTGTTGCCTCTCTGATTAATGCCCTCCTTGCCTGGTCCGTGAGTTTTGGTGGGCGTCCCTCTCTTGGCAGGTTTATTGTGGTGCCATATTATTTCAATTTCTTAATAATGGATTTTATGGTGCTCCGTGGGATGTTCAAAGTTTCTGATATTTTTTTATAACCCAACCCTGATCTGTACTTCTCCACAACTTTGTCCTTGACCTGTTTGGAGAGCTCCTTGGTCTTCATGGCACCGCTTGCTTAGTGGTGCCCCTTGCTTAGCGGTGTTGCAGACTCTGGGGCCTTTCAGAACAGGTGTATACATACTGAGATCATGTGACAGATCATGTGACACTTAGATTGCACACAGGTGGACTTTATATAACTAATTATGTGACATCTGAAGGTAATTGGTTGCACCAGATCTTATTTAGGAGCTTCATAGCAAAGGGGTGAATACATATGCACGCACCACTTTTCCGTTATTCATTTTTTAGATATTTTTTGAAACAAGTAATTTTTTTCATTTCACTTCACCAATTTGGACTATTTTATGTATGTCCATTACATACAATACAATTACAAATCCATTTAAATTACAGGTTGTAATGCAACAAAATAGGAAAAAAGCCAAGGGGGATGAATAATTTTGCAAGGCACTGTAGATCAAATATGTGAAATTTGCTTTCTGACTGCATGTCAATTCATAGATACCAAGAAAAAGAACAAAGGACAGTTGAGACAAAGAAAAGATCTGTTAGAAAACATTTTACTTAGAAATGTGTTAATATTACTCTCACATAAAATGATTTGTCATCCAAGGGGATATAATGATCGCCAAAACGCTTCAACATTCACCTGCTCTATAAAGATACAACACATTAAACAAACTCCCTTACAAGTTATTTTTTTCTGTTAACTTTACCTTTACATAACCCCTCAATCATTGGACGCCTGTAAGCATGGTGACGTGCAATTAGTCCTAGAAACAGTAACTATGTTCTCCACAAATGTTGCTATGCAACAGACACGACAGTATCCAATACAAAACAACCCTGCTATGGCAGTAATCTTCACTTCAGTATAATTTCAACTTCATTGACACATAACACCTATCTGACCGAGAAATGTAGATTACAATACTCAATAAATATCTAAGAAAGCACTGAGATCCATAATATGCAATGCCTTGATTATAGAAGGACAGAAGGAATCCCAAGGCATAGCATGTATGCTAAAACATGGCATCTCTGGTGCTACTTGGCAATTCTGTACTAAAAAGGATTGACAAAAGAGAAAAAAGAGATATGGTGATAATGCTTTGACAGTAAAGGTGTTGGATCTCACAATGACATATGCCATTTAAATGTCAGAATATAACATGATGTATAGGTTATGCTTTATTTTCAACAACACCCAATAAGCAAAAAGCTGCTGGTTAAGGAAGGGCACTGTGTATAGATCCATCACAAACGACAACAGAACACCCTCATCTAAAGACAACAAACAGAAAAAATGTAATAAAGATGTCAGATGTGTCGATTTAAGTACAGGTTAAGCAATTGTGAATATCGTAGGCACTGTTGGAAGCATGAATGGTGCCGTCTTTGCACTCTGAAATGGTTTAGTTGGTTATGGTTAAAGCCACTAAAAGAGCACTCTCACAAAATGTTAGTATCATCTATAACTACAGGACATTTGTAAGGCTGAAAATAGTGTTCATGTTAAAAACCCACATAAGGAATGTTTAATGATCAAACAGGTCAAGTGAGTTGTACCTCTAAACCACTCCATCCCTACACATTACATACACATGGGCACTGTCAAATGTTATTTCCTTTCCTGTAAAATCAAATTCACTACACAGAATTTGCAAAGGCTACATCAAGGCCAATTTCAGAAAGATCAACAGCAATAAATAAATGGAATTAAATAAAAACACCTTCATTCATCATCTCCAGTCCTTTGTCACTGACCCGGCGACAAGTCACTGCTTATGCTGCCCCCTGGCAAAATGGCAGGCAAAGTCATACTTGCTCCTGCACTTGTGGCCACAGATGTTGCACTGGAAGGGGTTCTCGTAGCCGTGGCAGCCCATGTGGATGGTGTACAGGATGTTGTCAGGGAAGTAGATGTCACAGTGCTGGCAGTGGTGCAGCATCTGGGGGTCTTGATGCAGCGAGGGCAAGCCTGGGGCTGGTGTGCTGGGCTGGCTGTTGGTGATGCTGGGGGTACTTGTGCGTCCGCTGTGCTCGCTGCAGGGACCTGCCCCGGGGCTGCAGTTGCTGTGTGGTGGGGGCCTGGGCTCTGGGGTGATGGGGGAGGAGGAGGCATGGGCAGCACTGGCTGACACAGCAGCAGAAGCAGTGGCTGGGAGAGGCTGCTGGATGAGGAAGGGCTTCTCGTCCACACAGGACTCTGTACCTGGAGACATGGGAGGCTGTTGGGTCTGGCCCTCAGCTTCGGAGGGCAGGCTGGCCAGTTGGCCGGCCAGGGTGGAGAGCTGGTTGAGGGGGTTGTCCATGATCAAGTTGTGGTGGTGATGGTGGTGGTCGTCCCTGGAGCTTCCATCTCCACCAGCACCCTGGTCATCGTAGGTCTCCTGGCGCAGGTGGGGCAGTTCGTGGGAGTAGTCGTCCAGGTGCTCAGCCTTGTGCATCACCATGGAGGGTGGGCTGAAGTTGATGAGGAGCCGGCGACCATAGCCCAGGCTGGTCTTCTTCTGCAGGACGCTTAGCATCTTCTTGTGGGAGAGAGAGGAGCGAGCACCTTTCATGGGTAAGAGCTTGTGCCGGCGGCGGCGGTGGTGTGAAAGGTTGCTGCGGTCGCTGCAGCGGAAGGAGCACAGCTCACACTTGTAAGGCTTTTCTCCTGTGTGGGAGCGCATGTGGGCCTCTAGGTGGCGCTCATAAGCAGAGGCGAAAGGACACAGGTGGCATCTGTGGGGTTTCTCTCCTGTTTGATAAGAGGAAAGAGGAAGATAAAGAATTACAAGGAAGAATAAGGTCTTAGGATGAAATGTTAAATGTCATGTTTTTAGCTTTTTGTCTTTGATAACTAACTAGGCCTAATGAAAATAAAAGGGTGAACGCTTTGTATAAGAGAAAATGCTTAGCGAGTGATCTAGCCCTATATCATCTGGTAGCATCTGCATGTTGTTATCTGTCCTATTCAAGCTCACCTGTGTGAATGCGGATATGTTCAATGAGTCGTGCTGTGCCTCTGGTAGCATAGTTACAGTAACGGCACTTGAGTTTGCCATCATATGTTCTCTCGAAGCCATCCACCAGCATCCCTGAGCCGTCATCAAGGGACATATCCGCTGAGGGGTGGTCTAATCCATTCTGACTGCAGTCTGCACAGGTACAGAAACAATCACATCACAGGTTCAAGAAATATATCTATAGCTCAATTGGTAGAGCATGGCGCTTGTAACGCCAGGGTAGTGGGTTCGATCCCCGGGACCACCCATACGTAAAAAATGTATGCACACATGACTGTAAGTCGCTTTGGATAAAAGCGTCTGCTAAGTGGCATATTATTTTTATTATTATTATTTATTATGGATCCCCACTCTTCCTCGGGTCCAGCAAAATTAAGGCAGTTCTACATTTTTTAAACATTACAATAAATTCACAACAGATTTCACAACATTAAGTGTGTGCCCTCAGGCCCCTACTCTACTACCACATATCTACAACACAAAATCCATGTGTAGGTGTGTGTATAGTGCGTTTATTATCGTGTGCTTGTATGCATGTGTCTGTGCCTATGTTTGTGTTGCTTCACAGTCCTCGCTGTTCCATAAGGTGTATTTTTATCTGTTTTTTAAATCACCTTTTACTGCTTTGCATGAGTTACTTGATGTGGAATAGAGTTCCATGTAGTCATGGCTCTATGTAGTACTGTGCACCTCCCATAGTCTGTTCTGGACTTGGGGACTGTGAAGAGACCTCTGGTGGCATGTCTTGTGGGGTATGCATGGGTGTCCGAGCTGTGTGCCAGTAGTTAAAACAGATAGCTCGGTGCATTCAACATATCAATACCTCTCACAAATACAATTAGTGATGAAGTCAATCTCTCCTCCACTTTAAGCCAGGAGAGATTGACATGCATATTATTAACATTAGCTCTCTGCATATATCCAAGGGCCAGCCGTGCTGCCCTGTTCTGAAACAATTGCAATTTTCCTAAGTCCCTTTTTGTGGCACCTGACCACACGACTGAACAGTTGTCCAGGTGCGACAAAACTAGGGCCTGTAGGACCTGCCTTGTTGATAGTGCTGTTAAGAATGCAGAGCAGAACTTTATTATGGACAGACTTCTCCCCATCCTAGCTACTGTTGTATCAACATGTTTTGACCATGACAGTATACAATCCAGGGTTACTCCAAGCAGTTTAGTCTCCTCAACTTGCTCAATTTCCACATTCTTCATTACAAGATTTAGATTAGGTTTAGGGTTTAGTGAATGATTTGTCCAAAATACAATGCTTTTAGTTTTGGAAATATTTAGGACTAACTTATTCCTTGCCACCCATTCTGAAATTTACTGCAGCTCTTTGTTAAGTGTTGCAGTCATTTCAGTCGCTGACGTGTATAGTGTTGAGTCATCCGCATACATAGCATGTTGTTAGTAAAGATTGAAAAAAGTATGGGGCCTAGACAGCTGCCCTGGGGAATTCCTGATTCTACCTGGATTTTGTTGGAGATGCTTCCATTATGGAACACCCTCTGTGTTCTGTTAGACAGGTAACTCTTTATCCACAATATAGCTGGAAGTGTAAAGCCATAACACATACGTTTTTCCAGCAACAGACTATGATCGATAATGTCAAAAGCCGCACTGAAGTCTATCAAAACAGCCCCCACAATCTTTTTATCATCAATTTCTCTCAGCCAATCATCAGTCATTTGTGTAAGTGCTGTGCTTGTTGAATGTCCTTCCCTAGAAGTGTGCTGAAAGTCTGTTGTCAATTTGTTTACTGTAAAATAGCATTGTATCTGGTCAAACACAATTTTTTCCAAAAGTTTACTAAGGGTTGGCAACAGGCTGATTGGTCGGCTATTTGAGCCAGTAAAGGGGGCTTTACTATTCTTAGGTAGAGGAATAACTTTTGCTTCCCTCCAGGCCTGAGGGCACACACTTTCTAGTAGGCTTAAATTGAAGATTAGAAAAATAATTACACTCCACTCGCATTAATGGATTTTAACAGAATCATGCATGAAACAGTTTGGATAAAACTCAGAGGACAAGGGCAAGAGTCAGTTGACAGCCTGTGTGTTGATACCTGTAGCCCAATATTAGACCTCTGATTAATGATTTCATTAATTAATGAGACGAGGTCTAAGGGCATTCCATAGCGACTGCGTTCAAGATAATCAGGTACAGCCATTTGACCATGAGTTAACAGCATGTGTCCAGCATCCGAAGCTACTGATTGGAGGGTGACATTTGCATCGCCAAGCAGTGAACAATAAACTATTGAATCCAGTTTTTAGATGCTACCCCCCCTCCCCAAATCAAAATCGAATATATATATATGGCAATGTTTTGTTCTCACATTGCGCACACACATTTCCTCTGCTTCCCGTCTGTGATTGCCTGACAATCAGACTGTGATACCTCTGGTTCACGGTCTGTGATTAATGCCATATATTTGTTTCCTCTCACAAGCTCTACAAACCAGAATGTTGAATAAAATTATATTTGAACTTACTTAACCGGTTGTCCGTGCAGTTCATCCTTTTGCAGGTAGGAATGTGAGACAATATATCCACAGGAAAGAATCATTAAATACTCGCTAAGTATGCATGCGTCTCGTAAATGTATTTTCATCTTGTGCGCATGCTTCAGGTGATAGAAATCTCAACACACTACCAGCACTTTGAAAAGTTGACGTAATTATACTTTCCTGGGATATATTGTCTGACATTCCTACCTGCAAAAAGGACCAACCACATGGACAACTGGTAAAGTAAGTTAAAATATCATTTTATTCAACATTCTGGCTTGTAGAGGTCGTGAAAGGAAACTTTCCTGATCCAAACGCACATTTCTCCCTGACGTAGAATTCAAGGTGGGGTCTTCAGGCTACATCTGGGGCAGCATGGTGCCCATATTGCAAGGCTGATTAGCTAAAATAAACAGGAGTGAGAACACAACATGGAATCAATGTTTGGTTTTGATTTGGAGGGGGTAGTAGCGTCTAACAATTGGATTTAATTATTTCCTGGGCACCGCTCCGCGATGCAAACAACAACCTCCTAATCAGAACAGTCTACCAATTACAGATATAGCTTAGGAAGCGGGAAAAGTGTAGCAAACAGGAATGGTCGGCAAATAACTTGCAAGGTGGGTAAACGTTAAAACTAGACCCAAGTTTCCCTCAGGTCTAAACTGGGCTGGGCTTACCTGCTGGTAAGTCGTCCATCTCTTTGACTCCACTGACGGAGCCCGAGATCATGTTCACATGTTGAGTCTGCTGGCTGAGATACTCTTGGAAGTCTTTGACAAAGTCCAACGTCTCTGGCTTTTCCTCGCCCATTGGAAGGTAGAGACGCTTTCAGGTGCAATAATCCAAGTGTATCCATAACAGCACATGATGATGACATTGTCAATAGGCAGACAGATTAGCGAAAAACAACATGACAACATATTGACATAACTTATGATTTAGAACGCTGAGTTCATTTCAGCCTATGCTGCCCTTCAGTTCATTTTCTTTTTGGCAAGACATGGATCACCCTAGAGAACACTGCTACTCCAGCTGCTCTCTCTTCATCTGACTAGTTTTCTCTCATAGTCCAAGAGCATCTGGTCGTCGCAGTGGTGGCACAAGGCTACCAATTACTCCTAACTGGATATTTTCTCTCGACTCCCTCTTCTCAACTGTCCATCTCCTCATTTGAATTCAATGCGGTCACTTGCCACTCAAGCTTAACATTGTGTAATCTATCGCCCACCAGGTGCCCTTGGCGAGTTCCTCAATGAGCTTGACACCTTGATTAACTAAATTCCTGACGATGGTTCACCGCTCTTCGTACTTGGCAACTTCAACCTCCCGACATCTACCTTCGATTAATTTCTTTCCAACTCCCTCTTTCCCCTCCTGGCCTCTTTTGACCTCACCTTTCCCAATCCCATCCAACTCACAAGGCAGGCAATACGCTTGACCTCATCTTTACTAGAGGCTGTTCGCCTACTAATCGCTCTGCAACCCCCCTCCAGGTCTCTGATCACCATTTTGTTTCCTTTACTGTCTCCCTTCGCTCCAACCCTAGCCACTCAGCCCCTCCCCAGATGGTCATGCGCCATCGCAATCTTCACTCTCTCTCTCCCACTACTCTCTCCTCCTCTATCCTACCAGCTCTCCCTTCTGCTAAATCCTTCTCCCTACTGTTTCCTGATTCTGCCTCTTTGACCCAACTCTCCTCATCCTATGACTAGCACTGTCCCCTTTCCTCCCGGCCGGCTCGGCCCTCCTCTCCTGCTCCGTGGCTGAGTGCCTCATTGCGAGCTTACAGAACAGGGCTGCGGGCAGCTGAGTGAAAATGGAGGAAAAGTAAACTTCTGGAGGACCTATCATCCTTTCACTCCCTCCTCTCTACCTTCTCTTCCTCTGCTGCTACAGCCACTTTCTATCACTCCAAATTTCAAGCGTCTGCCTCTAACACTGCCAAAGCTGAAACTCTCTCTCCTCTGTGCTCATCCTCCTAGATCTATCTGCTACCTTCGACACCGTGAACCATGAGATCCTCCTCTCCACCCTCTCAGGGCTGGGCATCTCAGGCTCTGCACATCCTACCTGACAGCCCACTCCTATCAGGTGATGTGGAGAGGATCTGTGTCTGTACCACGTACTCTCACAACAGGTGTCCCACAGGGCTCGGTTCTAGGCCCTCTCCTCTTCTCTCTATACACCAAGTCACTCAGCTCCGTCATATCCTCACATGGCCTCTCCTATCATTGCCATGCTAATGACACTCCAACTGCATTTCTCTTTCCCCCCTTCTGACACCTAGGTGGCGACACGCATCTCTGCTCGCCTGGCAGATATTACATTTACATTTTAGTCATTTAGCAGACGCTCTCATCCAGAGCGACTTACAGGAGCAATTAGGGTTAAGTGCCTTGCTCAAGAGCACATCGACAGATTTTTTCACCTAGTCAGCTCGGGGATTAGAACCAGCGACCTTTCGGTTACTGGCACAACGCTCTTAACCACTAAGCTACCTGCCGCCACAAGATATCTCAGCTTGGATGTCAGCCCACCACCTCAAGTTCAACAAGACGGAGTTGCTCTTCCTCTGGGAAAGGCCTGCCTGCTCAAAGACCTCTCCATCACGTTTGACAACTCCACAGTGTCGCCCTCCCAGAGTGCAAAGAACCTTGGCGTGACCCTGGACAACACTGTCTCGTTCTCTGCAAACATCAAAGCAGTGACTCGCTCCTGCATGTTCATGCTCTACAACATCCGTAGAGTACGGTCCTACCTCACACAGGAAGCTGCGCAGGTCCTAATCCAAGCACTTGTCATCTCCTGTCTGGACTATTGCAACTCGCTGTTGGCTGGGCTCCCCGCTTGTGCCATCAAATCCCTGCAACTTATCCAGAACGCTGCAGCCCGCCTGGTTTTCAACCTTCTCAAGTTCTCTCATGTCACCCCACTCCTCCGCACACTCCACTGGCTTACAGTCGAAGCTCGCATCCACTACAAGACCATGGTGCTTGCCTATGGAGCAGCAAGAGGAACTGCCCCTCCCTACCTTCAGGCTATGCTCAAACCCTACACCCCAACCCGAGCACTACAAGCTCTTCTGTCCTGGCACCCCAATGGTGGAACCAGCTTCCCCCTAAAGTAGGGTTGGGCGATATATCTAATTAATTAGAATGTATGTTTCTGCGTGATATTCCAAATGCCTGTAATCGCAAGAATCAAGGTTTTGTTATTTTTCGTTTTTATGAGCGTTTCGGTCTGCTTGTTCTCGTGTTATATTTTTGGTTTTGTCTCTTTCGCTCCTCTGTGCTGTGTGCACCTTTCCATTTACACCAGAGATCTGTATACAACTAGATTTAAATGTACAAGTAAAGTTGTGGGGCTTGCTAAAGCTCTTTCAAAGTACTTTTGTGGTAGTGAAAGAAGTTTAAAAAGCTGTACTTTAATTATATTATTTGAATAGTGAAATCCTTTTAAATTCCCATCGATAGTCAGTAGTGGTCAGTAGATTTGGTCAGTAGTTGTGTGGTTCAGTAGTTGTGGTCTGATGTTGTGTGGTTGTGGTCAGTTGTTGTGGTCAGTAGTTCTGTGATAAGAACTTGTGTGGTTGTGGTCAGTAGTTGTGGTCAGAAGTTGTGTGGTTGGGGTCACTAGATATGGTAAGCAGTTGTGTTCTTGCAGTCAGAAGTTGTGTGGTTGTGGTCACTAGATGTGGTTGTGGTCAGTAGTTGTGGTCAGAAGGTGTGTGGTTGTGGTCAGTTGTGTGGTTGTGGTCAGTTGTTGTGTGGTCAATATTTGTGTGGTTGTGATCAGTAATTGTGGTCACTCTTCACCCTCGTCATATTTTTTGCCCTCTATGTCTGTGAGTACCCATAGCAACGGCTCCATTCGGGCTGATCCATGATGACACAGAGAGCTGTTCGTAGACGTCAGCATGCCAGTTGTCACTCTAAACTCCGACAAACAGCTGTAACTTTACATTGGTAGAAACTATTCCTAAACCGCTCTTTCCAATCAGAGGGGTACAGCCCACCCTTCTCTTTAGAGACAGGCAAACTAGTGTTGCATGGCAACAGTAGCCTTGGCAACACTGCTGCCTTTCGGCTAAAGCAAGTGTGAGAAACCTGCTAACATACAGTAAGTTTGTGCTTTAATATTAACTAAATACTGCACTTTGACCCACAAAACGCCTTTGCTAGATTCATGATAGTGTTGTTAGACAAAGCAAGGAAAGTGAACTTGGAAGTTTGGTCCAACAGAATCGGTCATATGGACACCAAAACACACAGACATTATTTTACTGTAATAAAGGAAAAGTTAACTTTTCTAACGATACCCTTTTTATGTCCCAATTACTCAAATTGCGCGCAGAGTAGACACTACTAAAACAAGAGTTTTTTTTTTTTTTTTTTTTTACATTTTTACATCATTTAGCAGACGCTCTTATCCAGAGCGACTTACAGGAGCAATTAGGGTTAAGTGCCTTGCTTAAGGGCACAGACAGATTTTTCACCTAGTCGGCTCGGGGATTAGAACCAGCGACCTTTCGGTTACTGGCACAACGCTCTTACCCACTAAGCTACCTGCCGCCCTAGAGTATTAATGAACATTGATTTCTTCAGTTTGTCTCCCCCGCCTTGGGGGTACCGCTAGCAGCATTTTAGCCAAAAACTGTAGTAGCTGTCTAGTCTGAATTGTATAAATGTGCAGTAAGTATTAAACACAATTATATAAGGAACTGGCAACTCGTTCTCATTCTGTGAAATAAGGTAGGCCACTTGATTTCAACAATAAGGTAGGCCCATTTGATTTCAACATCTGAACAAAGTGGCCAGGCTAACATGCTTTTCAAACAGTTGCAGACAGACAGAAGGGTGTGTTCATAACAATTCAACTGTTCAACCTTGTTAGCTTTGCAAATAGATCCAAGTTGGCTAAACTTGAAATATATAGATTAGCTGGGTAATCACTAGTACGTGGGCTTGAGAGTGTTTATGAGACCTGTGTTAATTTTCTATAGCCTAATGCCAGCTACAAGAAGTGAATGTGCATAAATTTGAAACAAAAAAGGGCATTTTCATAGACAGGCTTGAAAGCCAGATCAGTGATTATTGCAAAGAAAGAGCAGGTTAAACTATTTTGAGAAAATAATTAAATGATTAGTGGGTCTTATGGTTGTGGAAGGCTTATATATAGCCTAGGTATAACTTCACAAGCCCTGAATTCATTATTGCGGACTGTTTGAAATGCAGTGTATCTGACCTTTAATTGTACAACACTTATTTAGAGAACTATATATCTTTTTTAATCGAGATATACATCGTGAATCGCCCATAAATGTGAAAAAAATCGAGATATGATTTTTAGGCCATATCGTCCTGCCCTACCCTGAAGCTAGGACACCAGAGTCCCTGCCCATCTTCCGAAAGCACCTGAAACCCTACTGTACCTCTTCAAAGAGTATCTTAAATAATCCACCTCCTCACCTCGAATCCCCCCCAGTCCCAAAAAAACTTTACTGAACCAACACTTGCACTTGACTCCCCCCTCCCTTCTAGCGCTGACTTTACTGATAACTGCTTTATTGAGGAAAAGTGTACTTACTATGCCTGTGATATGTGGTTGTCCCACCTACCAGTAGCTAACGATCTTAAGATGAATGCACTAACTGTAAGTAGCTCTGGATAAGAGCGTCTGTTAACTGACTAAAATGTAGCTAAATGTAAAATGTAGCAGTTCATTTTAGCTAGCCAATGTCATCGACAGAGCATCGATTCCAGCATTGATTGCTGGAACACTCATCTGGCCAGGTAACCAAGGAGCTAGCT